AATGACTAGATTAGAAATGCTTGTAGGTGATTAGGAATGGAGTTGCTGCTCAATGCTGCTATCCAATCCACACTTCACGTAAGTTGATTGGAGGCCAATGGATCTAAAATTGGTGATGAATATCTTGCTTGGACAATTGCCCCATCTGCCACCACTAAGGCTGGAAGTCATCTGACCACCAAACTGCCTCGCCAGCAATGCACATCGCCATACGCGATCCGTCAGCATTCACTACTACAGGCTACGTCTATACAATGCTACACATCTGGTCGGATTTGAAGGCAAAGTTTGCATGCCAACTGTGGGTCGCCCACTAGACACCAGTGGTCTACCTCAAAAGATCTCACTTAAAACGGCTGGCATGGCTGTGACCTAAGATTAGAGATTCTCAGGGAAAAGTGTGGGTCCTGACATCACAGATCTTCTACCATCCACCAAGACGCGAACCTTTTCCACTTTACTTCTGGCAGACTACCTCACGAAGGTGACCGAGGCAGAACTCATGAAGTCGCGCTATGTTGAAACGGTTGCACGGACTTCCTCAATAGTTCGATTCGCCAACGCGAATTGTCTGAAGCGGTGCATAGTGATTAGGGTAACATCTCGAGAGCCAACCGTAGAAGGAGCTATGTAAGACAATTGGCATTCATAAGACACGCACGATAAGTGGATATTTTCTAGGTAGTGGACTGATGAAAAGGAAGATTGGCACTTCGACTAAACTACTGAATGTTTACAGTGGGAATGCACAAATGTAAGACTGGAAGTAAAGCTTTCGACTGCCCCTTTTATGCGTACAGCACGGGCTGCGGTTCATATGTCAATGGCATCACTGACAATTCCTCAACGAGTAAAGAGAAGGAGTGGGACAAAACTTGAACTTTGCCCTAAAACACATGCGACTATCACCTCACAGACAAAAGAAGGATTTGGACAGACACAGTCAGGCTACGTATATAGAGAAGCGGAACTACTGCAGCTGTAGAGCCGGAGTCCGCCTCTCAAGTACACCTCGAGTGTCATCACTCGTAGTGAAAATATGCATTCTAGTGACGAAAGTCGCCTCGACGGCAAACCACCTCGTCTACAACACACAGCGCTGTACTGAACCACTCACTGTCAATCACAGAGGCATTTACCTGCAGGCAGTGCTCGAAACGGTGATGGGACTAAATAAAACGCGTTTGGTGGTTATACACCAACCTCGTGTATCGGCGGCCACAATTGACTGCTGAGGAGGAAATAGACTCCCACCCACTATAACTCTCATACACCGTACACATTCACGGCACTTCTGCTTTTGAATAATATGCAACTCTACCCCTTCTGCTCATTTCGGTGCCGTGAAAGCCGAACGAGGATCGAGAAAGGCTGAATCGGTTGCAGAACACCGCCAGATCTACAAATATTTACAATTATCTTATTTCCACAACTTTTCCTTGGCGTCACAATTGGTCACCACTTTGTTTTCCAATTTAATCAGTAGTTTTGAAGGACTATGTGACGAAATTGCGATTCTGCCTAAATTATCAAGGACAGAAATAAGGCATATGCCATTGCATTACAAAAGAATAATTCGAATGGAATATCAAAATTGAAATTAATTGGATTGGCTTTCACTTTACCTTAGGGGTTTAATCATTTTCTAGCAGCAGCGTTAACAGGGAACTGACACTTTCTTTACTTCACCCAGGTCCCCTCAAAAGTCGATTGAAATACACATGCATAGAAAGGATCGAGAAAGGCTGAATCGGTATAGGTATAGGTATGCTCATGGAAGAGGAAATTTTATAGAGTTATGTGGTCCAACTTAAAACAGTCTGCTTATTACTTAGAGTGGCCATTTTAATGCTATCAACCCAAACAAAATCGCGGGCCTACCGACACACCAATATGTTCTCAAACACTGCTTTCCTCTCCAGCGTTATATATTCCGTTACAACATTTTTCCAAATAAACAAAATCCTTCTCCATTTTAAAGTCATTTTGGGCATCGCTATTGTGCTGCTAAAAGTCCATTACAGCACCTGGCATCTAAGGTCAGCATCTGCTGTCCACTGGACCTACTTGACCTTTGCAACTCATTTTGTTCCCTCTCGTGTTTAAGTCTTAAACTTGGGCGATATTTTCTACCATTGGGAGTAAAAGCCTTCTTTTAACATTTTACACTAAATTTATGAAGGGTGTTTTTAGTGAAAAGGGAAGCCACCATGTGAATGAACTCAGTGCTTGACTGTTGTCTGTTCTGTTTAGGGCGTTCACGTCCACGGACGAGGTGATAAATTGTGCGCATTACCTTCCACAGCAAGCACACCTGATGCGGCAAATGCCCTGAAGGCGTCTTTTAGCCTTGACAACCTCGCGTATTCCACTTACTGTAAATTATCTTTCTGTAGTAGTGCTTCTTCTCTTAGACAATTGCCCTTAAAATACTGATCAAATTTTAAGGTTTAATCCACAAGAGATTCGAAATACTTGAGAAGGCTTTTGTCCAGGAATTGAATTGTTTACGGGGAGGAAGTCAAATGTGCAATGCATTGAACTTTTGCCTTTTCATTGTTAAAAAGGTAAGGAGAAAGTTAGAGTCCTTGCTCATAAGGAAATCAAGATGCACTATTATAAAACGATGATGGAATAACAGGTGGTTTTACGTGCACGTAATCGGTTCTGCCTTTCCCCACTCCACCTCTGCTTTCATGACTCTGGCACGAGTAGATTGGTGGGAGAATGGTAAATCCTGCTTGAGAAGTGTGGTAAATGCGGAGAGGAAATTAGGGTTAGAAGAGGAACTAAGTTGCTTTCATTCCTAAGGGGTTAAACTGTTCCCTCAGATACGTGATTAGCGTGTACCTAGTGTTATACAACGCTTTGATTTCCTCTTCAACACTTCGCTTTGTTATAGCAGGCATTTAAGTCCCCGCCTTGGTGCATCTGCTGAGAGACATGCCTCCGAGCTATGGCAGTACCTTTCAGACCTCCTGCAGCTCGGCAATACCTATTCTGCCGCAGTGTGCTGCCTTTGTCATTAGGAAAGATTCCCGCAGCAGACTGGTGGCAGTGGAGAACAACAACCACTCCTGAAGGACACCAACTCTGATTTCGATGGCTAAAATGCTAGACCACAACGTGGGGAAGAAGGGCCTATGCTGCAGATGGAAGGATATGTAACAACTTTTAAAAGAGGGGTAGAAATGACGTTTGCCTTCGTCACCAACCCCAGTCTTCACGCACACTGTTAGCAACTAAGGCGACGCTAGCCGTGGTCATGCACCGCCTGGAAAAGGTCCTTTACGA